AAACCTGGAGTGCCCTTAGACTTGGTATCCGATTCCCTTGGTACAGAGGGAAGCTGGGGGGAAGCGGGTCCCACCCTTTGCCCTCGATGGTTTTCTGCACCCCTCTTCCCTGAATCCTTTCCTGAGATCTCAGCATCAGCTCCAGGGGCTGGGTCCCCACCCCATCCCTGGCTGGAGTCCTGGAGGTAACAGACTCACCCAGACTAAAAGAAAAAAGAAAGATAGCAGTTCTCCTGTGGTGCCTTCCCGGGCTGAGGAGCACTCTTGGCATTTAGCTGTAGTGTCCTTCTCTTCCTTGCAAGAAGCCAGTGGAGGGAGGGGAGGGCCTCTTCCTGTACAGAGCTGACTTGGCCTGACCCCAGGACTGGCCTTGTTCTGGAAACCCGTAGGAGAACCCTTGGCTGGTTCCGCAGCATGGAGGATGAGCTGGGTAGCATTATTTTCCTGGAGTCTGACACAGGTGGAAGCTGAACTTGGGGCTCTTTTGCAACCTGGCCCGTTTGGCCAACCCCTAGGTCGAGTTACCCCAGAGAGGCCTAGCCCTTGGATCTGTCATAAGGGGAAATAAACGACCCATTTGGTTTCCTTGGCATTCAGCAGGTGCAGACACAGTGCACGGTACTGGTCTAGTTGGGGAGGGCATGGGGAAAGGGTGCCCTGGTCTCCTGGACGAGGGGAGAGGTTGACTCAGCCACTTTGGAGAGCTTTCTGGCAACATGGCCCCAATATGCACAAGGCCAATGGCCGTAGCATCATCCGCAGCAGCAAGAGACTGGAGATCCCCTAAATGTCCATCTGGGGGTTGGGGGGGGGAGATGGGGGAAATACATCTGGGAAATTCCATATGCGGGGGCTTAAAGAGAGGGAGGAAGGGTTTAGGGTGTAGCTCAGTGGTGAAGCGTTTGCCTAGCAAGTTCAAGGTCCTTGCTCCATCCCCAGCCCCGGGGAGAAAAAGTGTGCACAGCGTGTATAAAAAAAGGCAGTGTGGACCAGGAGCCGCGGTTCATGCCCGTCATCCCAGCACTTGGGAGGCCGAGGCAGGAGGATTGCAAGTTCAAAGCCAGCCTCAGCAACTTAGCGAGGCCCTTAGCAACCCAGCGAGACTCTGTCTCTAAATAAAATACCACAAAGGGCTGGGGATATGGCCCAGTGGTTGAGCGCCCCTGGATTCAATCCTCGGTACCAAAAGAAAAAGAAAAAAGACGATATATTTGGTTATTAAATTTCCTTTGACCCTGAACGTGTAATACCTGCTAAGAGATTTAAAAACTGATCCAAGAACAAAACCCTTTGGCTGGGTCTGGTGGTGCACACCTGTAATCCCAGCTACTTGGGAGTCTGGGGCAGGAGGATTGCAAGTTGGAGGTCAGTCTCTGCAATTTAGATACTGTCTCAAAAAAAAAAAAAAGAATTAAAAGTATTGGGTATGTAGCTCAATGGTACAGCACCACTGGGTTCAATCCCAAGTATTAAAAAAAAATTAAAATCCACCCTTTGGGCTACATGAGTTTGAAGAGCAAGCCTCCTGTCAGTCAGGTGCAGCCTGTGCGTTGCCCTGTGGGCTGGTGGCAGGCTAGTGGGCCAGCCTCAGACTCCTCCTCAGCACAATGGGATGAGGCCCAGTGGCCAACATAAGCCAGCTCCTGTGTGTCCCACGGTGGGCACCATAAGGATTATCCTCCCAATCTGTAACGAGGACCAGCACAGTCTTCGGGAACAGCAGCAAGAAACTAACCTGGGTGGGTGTGGGGCCAACGCTCAAAGGAACTTAGTTTTACCTATTACCTTACTCTCTTTTCCTTTTGGTGGTACTGGAGATTGAACCCAGAGATACTCCATCATTGAGCTACATCCCCAGCCCCTTTTATTTTATTTTTTTTTTTATTTTATTTTGAGACAGGTTCTCCCTCAGTGGCTGAGGCTGGCCTCCAACTCGTGATCCTCCTGCCTCAGCCTCCCAAGTTGCTGGAATTACAGGTGTGCACCACCCGCCTGGCTCTTCCTCTCTATTTCCACCAGCAATATCTTTCCTTCCGTCATCTGAACAAAGTGACACATGTTATGGAGTGTAAAAGCAGAAGTCATTCTAGGTTGTTGTGAGCCCCAAGACAAGGAGGTTCCCGACCAGGTCCAAATTGCCACTTGGACACAGCGCGGACATACTGCAGAGCCTTGGGACCTTGGGCAGGTGTCCTGTCCCCTCCGAGGTGCTGTGGGGATGAGCCGAGATGATATATGCAAAGTTAGAGCCATCTTGGGCAGAGTGGGTGGTGCCAAGGAGTTAGCCATCCTTTAAAAAGGTAAATATTGCTACATAGTTTTTTGTTTTTTTTTTAAATAATGTGGGAAAGGTCAGGAAAATCCCTGCTTGCTCCTTACTAGCGGTGGAGATGGGGCCAGGAAAGCAGGAGCCCCTTGGAAGTGACAGAAACCTGGCTCCGGCCCCAGGGGCCCAAGGAGCAGCTGGTCACTGCCCGGGTGGGCGGACGTACCGTCCTGGCACGGAGGTCTGGCGGGCAACGGCCCGAGCAGGGTCCAGCCGTCTGTGTTCCCTGGCTGGCACTCTGGGTGGAACCGACTTGGCCGACTGGCTGGAAGCCCCTGCGGCCCCAGGGACCGTGGAAGCAGCATTCAGAAAGCTCTCTCTGTTCCGCCCTGGCTTTTTCCAGAGCGGAGTCTCCTGAGTCTTTGGAAAGAACATCGAGTACCCAAGGCCCTGATGCTGGCTTGCTGTGTGACCTCAGGTGAGTCACTCCACTTCTCTGGGCCTCTGTTTCCTTAACCCACCCAAGAGCCTGTGACAGGGCTAAGCAATGAAAATACGGAGACAGAAAGGCCCTGTCCTCACCGGGTTCATAGCCAGTTGTCAGCCAGGCCTTCCCCTAAGAAGCAGTCTGTACATTATAAACCACCTGACAGACGAAACGGCACAGGCACTGAGACTAGTTCAGATCCTGGTCGAAAAATCACACAGCTTCTGAGTGGCAGAAGCACCCTGTCAGGGAAATACAGAGGCGTCATATAATTATTATAATTGGTGGCTGTCCGTTCGGGCCTCGGGTTTGCAGGATTCAAATTCAGTTTCCAAAAGTAGCTTTGGCCTTGGGAGAAAGGCCCAGTGTGGCCCCAGTGGGGTCTGTCCGCAGTGGCAGGAGCGGGGGACAGAAGCACCTCTCTTTGGGTGGTAGGATTTTTTTTTTTTTGGTACCAGGGATCGACCTCAGGGGCACTCGACCCCCGAGCCCTATCCCCAGCCCCATTTTGTATTTATTTAGAGACAGGGTCTCCCTGAGTTGCTCAGCACCTTGCCATTGCTGAAGCTGGCTGTGTACCACCTGGCTCAGGTGGGGGGACTTTAAGCCCTCTCTGGGGCATCCTCTGTACCCTCAGGAGAAGTGGCTTCTCCCGGTCCCCGTGGTACAGACACCGCACCCCAGGCCCCGGGCGGCAAAGGGGATTTCCTGGTGAGAAGCCGTATTTGGACTTGAACGTGGCCCATCTCTGCTACTCAGAACGGATCTTGGGTGCAAAGAGCTCAGCTCGCTGCATCCCTGGGCTGTGGAACTCGGGGCCAGCGGCCTGGTGGGCCTCTCTGCCTCCACTCCTGCTCCCCTGGAGCCTCTGCACCAGCCACAGTAGCTCAAGGACCAGGGTCCAGGCAGGGCACTGAGGCCCACTGAGCACAGAGAATCCCACGGCTCGCACCTCTAGGGTCCCCGCAGCCCACGCCCCATCCGTCCACCCACCTGCGCATCCACCGCCACGCCCACCCAAGTCTCGCTTAGCAGTCTGCGTGGAGCCCGGCAAGTTCAACGCCCTTAGGAGACGGGTGGCAGGTCTGAGGCCCAGAGAGGGCAAGGGGGCCACACAGCATGGGTTCTGAGAGGACACCCCCTCCGTCTCCCGCCGATTGCAGGGGGTGGTGGGGACCCAGGGAATGTGACATCCGAGGGCTGCACGGCTGTGGCCTCCCTCTGGCTGGGACCTCCTGGGCATGGCTCTCAGGGTGTCAGTGGGAACACCCGCTCCCAGGGCGGTGATGAAAGGCGGGCACTGGGGGCTGGGAAGGGAGTGAGGTTCCCATGGGAAAGGGATGGCTCCGTGTGCCAGCCCCCCTACAGGCTGGTTTTGATGGCAGATCAACCCCAGCCGGCTCCTTGGGCACCTGCCCCTCGCGAGGAAACAAAGGCGGCGGCGGCGGCGGGTGGTGGCCATGGACGTGTGCAAACATGCTCAGGGAAACCCGGGGGCAGCCCGACCGAGTTTCCTCCTTCCCCGGCCTCCGCTCTGTCTTTATCCCATGCCCTGCTCTGAGGCACCTGTCCTCGTCACCAGATGGGCCCCAGGTCCACAAAAAAAACCCTCTGGGGCTCCTAGGTCCCTCTCGGTGCTCCGAGATCATGTCTCCCAGACTCTGCTGAGAGGTCGCCCGCTCAAAAGAACAGCGAGTCAAGCTTTTGGTCGACGTGCACGAGCCAGGGAGCCTGGGCCACACGTCGGTGGAACCCCTGAGTGGACGCATGGGTGGGTGGGATTCCGGCCCTCTGCAGGGACGGGCTGTGTTGGCCAGCCTAGGCAGGACACCATCTCCCCGAGGTTTGTAGGAACATGGCATGTGGTTCCTTGGACCCAGGGTCCCTGTTGCTGTCCCCTTGATGCTGGAAGACTTAGGGGTCACCAGAGCCCGGGACCCTGTCTCTCATGCCACACCATCCAGGCCCTCCACAGCTGCCTCAGATGCCCCCCCGGGCGTTCCCCCCAGGTTTTGGTTTTCCCGGTTCCCCGGGTTCTTTGGGGGCTTCTTTGTTGTTGTTGTTGGGGGGTGGTGGCGAAGGACAGGAGAGGTGCAGCCGGCCTCGGGCTCCCAGCCTGCCTGGCAGCTCAGCCGCTCCTGGGAGCGGAGCTCGGGGTGTTTGTCATCTGCCGAGGACAGTGGGATGGTTTAAGGTGAAATTTAAGCCCATTAGTGCTTGGCTAATGACATCAGCGGCCACTGCGAAATGGAGATGGCAGGGTGTGTGACCGCCCATGAATCGTCGGGGCTGGCGCCGCCTCCCTCCCCGGGCCTCACCTCCCGCCCCTCTCTGCCAGTCCCCCACCACCCCACCGGCCCCTCTGGCTACTGGCGGGGGTCTGGCCTCTGCCCCAGCCAGGCCTCCTCAAGGCCCGGCCTCCGGGAGGTCAGTGTGTAGCCGGTGGGGGGGGGGGCGCCGGGGTTCGGCCATCCAGGGCGTGAGAAAGGAATTGGCCAGGGAGCCCAAGCGTGGAGGCAGCAGCTTCCTTAATCTCTCTTCTTTTATAACTTCTGTCTTTTTTATGCACACGCAAGGATCCCAGCTCAGCGCCGGCAGCTCTTCCCCGGCTGAGCCGTCTGCCTGCAGCTAATGCCTGACAGCTCTGTTTATGTCTGCCCATAATTCTCCAGCTTTATGTTTTTTTTTTTCGGGGCCATTAAGCTCCCAGCCACAGGCTCCTTCCCCTGCCCCCGCCTGCCTTTGTCCTTGAGGCCCGGCTGCCCCACCGCCCTACAGGAGAGAGTGCATGTCCCCTCTGGGCAGGGGGACCGGGACCTTGTCCTGAGACCTCGGCTCAGGATGGCCCCTGTGGGGACCCAGGCCCACCTGATGCCAACTCCCTGCTGTCACAGGTCTTGTCCCCCCCCCCCCGGGTCCCCACAGGAGAGGGCGCACCTGGGGTCCTGGAGGGACCAGCAGAGCCCTCTGGCACCTCCTCCCAGGGCCTTTCTGGGTGACCTAGAGGCCAGACCTCCCTTCTCCCCTCTGCTGGACCCTTCTCTGTGGCTCCAGACCTACCGCCTCTGTATCTCCAGCCTCCCCAGCCTTTCCTCTCCTGGGTCCCCTGACCCTCCTTCCCCACGGCAGGTCCAAATGGTCATCCTGCCCTTTCCCTTGATTCTGCACGGATCCCTCGTCCTCCCCGCCTGGATGAGCCTGGTTTCCTGCCAGGTGGACCCCCCTGTGCCCCTCAGAGCCTCGGCTGCCCCACCGGTCACATGGGGCAATCCTCTTGGGGACACAGGCTGGGGACAGGGGTGAGTGGAGTGGCCAGAGTTGGTCTCCTAAAAGCTGACACGGAAGGTTGACAGATCAGCCTGGATCTATCCCCCTCTCCTTTGGAGGGGGACCAGCCCTATCTGTCCACTTCTCCTCTGGGGCCCAGCACTTCCTGCCTTGGGGGGGGGGTGACCCAGAGGGGGAGGATTGGCCCCTTGCTGATGGCTGACCTGGGGGTCCACGCAGAGGTGGCTCTGCCTTCTCCCTGCCCAGCACATGTGGCCTCAGTCCCCTTTACTGTGGTCTCATCTCTCCCAACTTGGCACCATCCCCTGGGCCCTCTGGACCCTCCGTGGCCTGGTCCTAGCTTCTCTCCTGCTCACGGATGGATGCAGGGTGTCCAAGCTGGCCTCCTCTGCCCGCCGGAGCCCCAGGGCAGAGAGGCCTCCCACTGGAGCTTCTAGAGCCGGCTGGGCCACCACCCCGGGGGGAAGGTCCTCTCCCTGGCACTCGGAGGCCCGAGCTCTCTGGCTCGGCTTCGGTCGGTTCCCACCTGAGTCGTTTTGTGTCTTCCCAGCGTGTCTGGCTGCAGCGCGGCGGGGCGCGCTCTGCCCTGCCCACTCTGGCTGGCACCCCAAGCAGAGGACTTCCTCGACGTGACAGTCTCACCGTTGCCTGGCAGCCCCCGGGACCGGCAGGGCCCTGTCTGCTTCAGTCCCTGTTCTGAACAGGGACTCACCCAGTTCTGCCTGCACCCCACAGATAGCCCTGGAGCGTCTCTGCCTGTGCCAGGCCAGGCTGTCCTGTGGGACCTGGGTGAGCAGTCCCATCGTTAAGAGCAGGGAGAGCCGGTAACCGTGGTGCCTGCCTGTAACTGCAGCAGCTAGGGAGGCTGAGGCAGGAGGATCCTAAGTTGAAGGCCAGCCTCAGTTTGACCGTATCTCAAAATTAAAAAAAAAAAAATCAAAAGGCCTGGAATTTTAGCTCCGGGGTAGGGGACCTACCTGCCTAGCCTGTGTGATGCCGTGGCTTTAATCCTCAGTACTGGGGGTGTAAAAAAAAGGAGTGGGGAAGCTTTATCATTTGCAGAACCAAACTTTCATTGCAAAATGTTTCTCTTGACTCAAGAAGTCTTAAAAACCCTGAGGCAGGGACAGTAGCATTTGAAACAAGCACAGGGTGTCTCTGAATGTGGGCCCTGGGCAGCTACCCCAGTTGCAGCCCATGAAGACCACCATGGCTAGAGGAGGTCACGGGAGCACCTGCGGGTCCCTGGCAGTGTTCCCCAGGTCCTGGAATTCTGCGGAGTGCTGCAGGAAATTCAACAGGTGATGCTCACGTCATACCTGCGACTGATAGACAATACCAGGTATCAGTAATCCCAGTAGTAACCACGGTTCCTCTTTGCTGAACACCGATTATGTGCCAAGCACAATGCATCCGTAAAATCAACGGATGACACAACCAACCAACCAACCAACCCCAAACATGTTCCGAGCACCCACACGGAGCCACACCAACAGTGGGAGGGTTGGTCCCCTGTGTACCCTGCTGCAAAAATCACAGATTTTGCTGAGAGCCAAAGATTGGAACAGTGAGACCCCTGGTGGGAACCTGAGAAACCACCCTCCATCTCTTGCAGAGACGGAGGCTCAGAAAGGGCTACTGACCCTTGTAAGATCACACAGCACAGCCGGCCCTCCAAATCCCAGCCCCCAGCAGCCTTTCCATCTCTGGGCAAATGTTCCCTATCAGATACACAACAACAACAACAACAACAAAAAGAGTCCAGATGCAAAAGCAGACGTTCAACTCAATCACAATTTTGTTAAACGGGGTAGAAACGTTCAAAAAAAATCAGTGTCTTGTCTTCTCATCGGAGGGACTACAGATAATTTCTCTTTTCTTTGAGGTTTTCCTCTGTGTTTATGCAGTGGGGGGGTGTGTGTCTCGGGTGGGGGTGTGCTGGGGACTGGACCCCCTGGGTGGAGCACCTGCTGAGCAAGCTCTCTACCGCTGACCTCCACCCCAGCCATCCAGGGAGGTTTTTAAAGAGGTCAGCAGCTCTGAGTTTCCTAGAACGAATGTGGACAAGGAGTTGGTAGAAAACAAATGCTGGTTAATGGAGAGTTGCCATAGATACCATGTGGGGATCAGACATCCGCCAAGACCCAGAACTCCGGGCTCGAAGCCCGCCCTGGTCCACGACTCCCTTCCCTTCTTTTATCTGCAGATCCAGAAGGTTCCTTAGGGCCTGGGGGACCTGGGGTTCCCTCCCTGAGGGGAAGTGGGCTCTCTGGACTGTGGGGCCCTGCAGAAGGACTCCACCCAGGGCTTCCCCGGGGGCCAAGGGTCTCAGGGCTCTCCCTTCCTCCCAGTCCCTCGGGCAGGGAGGTGGCCTGTTAGGAAGCGTATCCCAGTGTGTACTACTGACCTCTTGCCCAGCCTGGGACCCTTGCCCTCTGTAATGTCCACCTCCCTCTGTCCTTCCTGGGAGTCCCAGTCCCAAAGGGCTCATCCGACTTCCCAGCACAGGGCATGGTGGAGTCCAGGGGATCCATCCACAGTCCCCTCCGCCCACTCTGGAGGTGGGCTGGGCCCAGGTCCCCCCAGCACAGCCGCCCCCCACGCTGACGCCTGGCATTCCGCAGACAGCTCCAAGCCACCTCCTACCCAGAGAGCCCCCTGGGTCCCTGGCCTGAGAAGAGCTGACAGCTCCTTAATAGAAGCAGGCCCCGGACGCCGCGTCTGAGTGACACCACACCCGGCTGAGAGGCGGCGGCTCGCATCAAAGCCTCATTTTTCTCCTTCCTCTTAGGCACTGAAACCATTTACATAAAGAGCCCTGCATGTGTCTGCGACCAAGATGCATTTCTTCCAGCATCTCCCCCGGCTTCCCCAGACGCCGCCTGTCAGAGCCTGGCCCAGTTCTCCAGCGCTGGGGGGAGTGGGGGTCACTCAGGGACCACCCATGCCTGGGTCACCCCAGACACAAGGCTGGAGGAGGCCAGCCAGAATAACAACTGGGCCTCCATGTATTTGTTTTCCCTTTTTGTGGTTCCCGGGATAGAACCCCGGGCCCTGACGCGTGCCAAGCCAGCGCTCTTACCACCGGGCCCCGTCACCAGCCCTCCATCGTTGGAGATAGAACCCAGCCACTCTTCAAGGGCTCAGGAGGTGGCACGCCTCCTACCAGCCGAGCCTGAGGGTCTCAGCCCAGCCCCGGATCTGGCCTCAGTTGCAAGTTGCAGCTTGGTGGCCCCAGCGTCAAGTTCACGTGGAAGGTCTGGTGGAGCAGAGGCTGCAGGACGGTCTCCAAACCAGGCTTGGAAGCAGCCAGCTCTTTCCCAGTGATGAAGCCCAAGTTGACAGCCACCATGGACTCCTTGGCTCATTCCAGGTGGCTGCCAATCAGTCCTGTTCTCCAACAGAGGCAGCCCGAAGTCACACTGCTCTCCCGGCCTGACTTTGGGCAAAGGGATGTATGTACCTTCGGTTGGCTCCTCTTTTAAGAAATACCAAGAGCAGGACAGGGAGAATCTCACCCTCCCCGGCAGCCAAGGGCACCGAGACCCTTTGTCCTGTGTGCCTGGAAGCCAGGAGCTCAGCGGGGACCAGCCCCCAGTCCAGGGTCACCAGACTCCCTGGCCCAAGGTCCCCCTCTGGACTTTCGTCTTCCCCGATTCAGACTCGGGAGGGTACTCCTCACACAGGCTCTTGGATGCGAACTGTATGCCTTCGCATTTTATAGCCACTCTTGCCTGGGTGCTAGAATGTGCTGGAATGTCACCCTGTGAGTCACCCGGGAAGGCCTACGTGCTTCCATTTGGGGCTGCACACTCCACGGTGATCCCCCTAGTCCTGTGGAGGATGTTTCTGGAGTCTGAGGTTGAAGATCCACTTCCAAGCACGCCTCGCATGGGAATGCCACACACGGGCACCAGAGAACGTGTTCTAGAACCTTCCGTGGCAGGTTTATTCAGCAGATCCTCAGACTGTGACCTCCCATCCCAACAAATGTCCCTCAGAAGGAGAACGGATAAACCCACCCGGTGGCAGCGAAGTTCTCCCTTCTCCGTGGTTTCCCCTCTCCCCACGATTTTAGTTACCTATGGCTGACCCCAGCCCAAAAGTATCCAAAGGAAGATTCCAGAAGTCAATTTAATTCAGGAGGAATTAAAAATGATTTTTTTTATTAGAGCAACATGGCTGAGGTATTGCTCATTTCTTCCTGGGCTTAATTTATGGGTTAAACTCACATCGTAGGTAATGGGTGTGTAAGGAAAACGTAGGGAGTGTAGGGTGTGTGGCTCTATCTGTTCAGCCACACTCGAGGGGTCTTCGGTGTGTCCCCTTCCTGTGAGGGGAAGGTTTAGCACACACATATATAAAAAACTGTGTCAGCTTTCTGTTCCTAAACAAATCTCCGAAATATAATCAACTTATAAAGGACAATGCAGCCACCCGGTTCTTTTGGCTTCTCTCTCTCTCTTTTTTTTTTCTTTTAATATATTTTTAAAGAAGGTCTTTTTAAACATATATACATTTATTTTTTAGCTGTAGTGGGACACAGTACCTTTATTTCACTTATTTCCATGCGGTGCTGACGATCGAACCCAGGGTCCCGCCCGTGAGAGGGGAGCGCTCTACCGCTGAGCCACAACCCCAGGCCCGGCCATTCACTTATGATTCAGGCTCTTCTCTGTATGCAACCATGAAAAAGTCAAACAGCAAAATGGGCAGAGGCTGCAGCTCAGCAGTAGAGTTTAGCAGGCACCAAGCCCCGGGTTCAATCCCCTAAAAGATGACACAGAATTCTCCTCTACCTAATCCCTTCCAAGCCTCCTTGCTTGGCTTAGAGTATAAAAACCCCCTTGGCCCACAGGGTCAATATCAAGTTTTTCCTCTTCTATCTAGCCAATAGCAGTATGCCTGTTTCCACTCCCCAGAGAATCTAAGAATATGTAGGTGGCCCTCTTTGATGGATATAATTCGAGGAGGTGACATGTTCGGCTTCAGGGAGGAAGTTCTACACACCTGTCTGTCTGTCTGTGGCTCTTTGTGACAGGCAGGCACTTCAGATGGCTGTTGTTCCATATGTTTGTGATCCTGGGTGACCTCAGTGAGTAATCTTCCATGTCCCCAAACAGACACATAGCCTAAGTAAGGGATAAACCCTGAGTGAAGGTGCTGGTGTTTGGGGGATATTTGTTATGCAGCACACCTCAGCCCATCCTGACTCGTACAACTGGCCTTTAAGGCTTTTCTGTGCCTGGTCCCTGACAACATCTCTTGCTTTGCAAAAAAAAAAAAAAAAGACACCTTCTGGCAGTAGGTTTGGTGGCTTCTATGTTCTGGGCTTGCTGAGATCTCATACCTGTTCCTGAGCTGCACCTGAGTGTGTATGTGTGTGTAGTGTCTTGGGCCTCTACACCTGCACCCAGCATAGGACCCCTTCCCCCTGCCTGTCCAATTTCCTCCTGCTGCTTTCAATGACTTCCAGAGGGCAGGGCCTGCAGGCAGCAGTCCATCATTAGATTTCATACAACAAGCAAGAAAGAAACGCTCAGGGCTCTTGACCTCCAGCTCCTGGGGAAGTGACATCCAGGGCAGCTCCTGCCCTTGATCACAAAGCTTCGCACAGCCTGGGAGCCTGGGTGCCTGGTCTATCCCCAAGGATCCCTCCCAACAGTCTCTGCAGCTCCTAGGGGGACTCTGCCGCTCTCACGGGCTCCGCACAGCCAGCACGCTCGGCCAGCACAACCCAACTTGGACCTGTTGTTCCTCCTCTTTTTCTTATTTGGTTTTCGGTACCAGGGATGGAGCCCAGTATGTCTTAACCACTGAGCTACAACCCCAGTCCTTTTCATTTTTTTTTTTTAATTTGAGACCAGGGTCTTGCTAAATTGCTGAGGTCTGGGCTGGGGATGTGGCTCAAGCGGTAGCGTGCTTGCCTGGCATGCGTGCGGCCCGGGTTCGATCCTCAGCACCACATACCAACAAAGATGTTGTATCCGCCGAGAACTAGAAAATAAATATTAAAAATTCTCTCTCTCTCTCTTCTCTCTCTCTCCTCTCTCACTCTCTGTCTTTAAAAAAAAAATAAAATAAAATAAATTGCTGAGGTCTCCCCAAGTCGCCCGGGCTGGCCTTGAATTTGTGATCCTCCTGCCTCAGCCTCCTGAGTCTCTGGGATGACAGGTGTGCACCACGGTCCGCGACTCTCGCTCCCAGCACTTCTAAGGGTCGTCCTTCCCCCTGTCTTGATGGCTCAGAGGATGAAGGGGAAGGACCTGGGATGCTCCATGGGAATCTGGGCCCTTCATTAACCTGTTTCGGATTGTGTGAGTTGTGACTCCAGGGAAGGTCCTTTTTCCCAGCAAGGTCTCCCCATGGGTTCTGGGGCTCAGCCCTGGCCTTGGAGCCTCAGCTACAAATGCTGGCCCCGGGACCTCCTGGAGCCCTCTGCCAGTCCTGGGCCAACCCTGTGGGTGGGGGTCTCCTGTCCTGGGCACTCTTGGTTCTCCCTTCCCCACGAGTCCCCACCACCGAGCAGGACTGGGTGGGAGCACGGTCACAGCTGGGCGGGCTCTGAGCAAGTGCATCGCCTTCCTGTGTGGCCACAGAACTTGGAAGTTAGAGGGGGTATAAGCCACCTGCTCAGGTCACGTGGGAAAAGCCATGCTGGCAGCTCCCTTGCTACGGGGGGGGGGGGATGGGAGGTAGAAAACATCCCCTGGGGTCCAAGTGAACCCCTTAGCTCAGCCTATGCTGTGCTAGGGGAAGGAGACCCCTCCCCAGTTTCATCTCCCACCCTTTCCTGCGTGGACTCCAGCCACGCTGGCTCCTCGGATACCCTGGGCCTTTGCACATGCCGTTCTCTCTGTCTGGGCCACCCTTCCCCCGTCCTCTGGTGGCACACAACAGGCAGGCCTGTTCACTGGGCCCGTGAACACTGACCACCCCATCTTGGAGCAGGGGCTGGGGCAGGCCAAGTTCAGGCTCAGGAATTCCTGGTGAGGCCTGCAGGACCCTGGGCTCTGGGAGTCCTTCCGTCCCCTTTCACCTGCGCGGGGCCCCCTCCTCGGTCACTGGCCTCTTTCTCGCTCACCTTTAACCCTGGGGCGGCCATCACCCAGGCCATCACCCCTGCTCCCTGGGCCTGGCGTTCGTGACCACCCTCCCCGTCCCCCCACGTCCCACGTCCAGCCAACACCAGTGCCCTGCTCTTCCTGCTGGGCACACGCTGGGCAGGAGCCTGGCACGCGTGGGCTCAGCTCCTCTCCGGCTCCCTGAGATGTTCCAACAGACGCCCGTCCTGGGTTCCTTCCGCCACCTCCATCCCCTGCCCGTCCACTCAGACCCTGGTTACTGCAGAGCCGTCTGCATTCCTGTGACTTCACCTGCCCTGGGCACTGGGAAAAAGGTCACAGGGGCTCACCTCCATAATCCCGGTGACTTGGGAGGCTGAGGCAGGAGGACTGGATTTGAGTTTAGGCTGGGCAACTTAGCAAGACCCTGCCCCAAAAAATTTAAAAAAAATTAAAATAAAAATATAAAGGGCTGGGGATATAGTTCAGGAGAGGGATACCCCTGGGTTCCATCCTGCAGGGAAAAAGAGAGACAAGCAACCACCATTTTCTGGCTTAGTGTGTGCCAGGCGCTGTGTGGAGGTATTCACACGTGGGTCACCTCCTTCAACCTTCAAGTTGACCCTGCGCCATCATCATTACCCGCCGGAGTAGAGATCAGCACGTGGAGCCCAGAAAGGACAAGGAATTTGCTGGAGGTCACACAGCCAGAGAGTGGAGGAGCCAGAACTTGAACTCAAGTCCACTCGCCTGACTTGCAAACCTGGGGCTTTCAACTGCGAGGACTGTCTACTGCCCAGCGCACACTGTTCTAGAAGGTCCTGGGATCTCAGGCGGGGTGGGCTGCCTGCTGAGCTTCTCTCCTGACTTCCCCAACTGCCGTCACCTGCAGCTACTCCCTGTTGTTGATATGCTCCCTGCCATCAATCAATCCTCAAAAAAATTGTTTTTTCCCTTGCTGGGGATCAAACCCAGGGATATGCCAGCTGAGTGCTGTGCCACAGAGCTGCATCACCACTACCCTCAGATTCTTTGGCCAGGAGGTAGGGGCTTCTCCCTGGAGACTTTCTCAGCATGAGACAGAGCCACAGGGGCTGGGCACTTAGTTTTCCTTCTCCCAAGCCTGGCAGCACTGTACCCTCTAACCTGGGTGTCGCGGGGGAGGGGGTGGAGCTCGGATACCTCGCACCCAGGTGCTCAGCCCTGTCTGGGTTCCAGTGGCTGAGTCGACAGGTAGGAATTTATTTCACGGTATGCAACATCCCACGAGCTGCCTCCTCCAGGAAGCCCTCCCTGACCATCAGGAGCCTTTAATAAGCAGAGAGCTGCCCCCTTGAAGCACCCCAGAGGGTTCAACCAACCTCTTCTCGCCCCCCTTCAGAGACAAAGCCCTGGCTTCTTTCCCTCCCCTGCTGCCCTGGGCTGCCCCTGGGTGCCGGATCTGCCCTCCACAGCAGGCCTCTACATTCCAGATCAGCTGGGAGCCCTCTGGGCAGCTTGGCCTCCGGAATGTGTGAGCATGTGGGAACTCTTCCCAGTGAATTAAGAAAAGCGGGTCACCAAAGGGCATGTGAGAAAGAATATGATGTCACTTCTGCTTTTAAAAAAAAATATGTACCCCTGCCTGCTTCTGCAGCACTGGGGCCCGGAACCTGGCCAGCACTCGGGGGGCAGGATCCCCGGGGCCGAACTCCCTTGAGACCTCTGTCTCTGTGCCGGACTGTCTGCAGTAAACAGACACGGCTTGATCCTGGGGAGAGTTGGGCCAGCGGAGGCCCCAGGGCTGGCAGAAGTCCATGAGGGGTTTGAATCCCTTTTTGGAGCTTTAGAGAAGACTCCTGGACTCCCTCATTCAGACCCTTGCCAGCCCCAGGATCTGCTCAATGTGGGGCTAGGCATACAGCAAGAGCATAATAACAGCACCTAGGCCGGTATTCTCCATGTTGACGCTCCTCTCCAAACCCAAACCTGACTTTGTTCCTTTCCAGTATAAAACCTTTCATGACTCCCTAGTGGTCCCCCAAATAATGCCCCCCCCACTTGCTTGGCATTAAAGGTCCAGCAGGCAATCTGACTTCTGCTCCCTCCTCCAGCCTCCCAAACAGGTCA